AATCCTTTACTATTAAAATATATAATACAAAATCTGAAAGTTTTAATGTTTTGCGAAATATAAGCAGCTTAATTTAATTTAATTTGATTCAATGCGTGATTCAAAGTATACTATTTCAGATAGTAGATATGGTTCAACATTATGCACTCTCACATACTTTCGTATTCAAATTTTGCCATTTGGTAGATTAGAAGTTCACTGAATGTAAGACGATAGCGGTGATCTCTCGTCGTCAGCTGATCTCACCTGTTGCATTTTACGCATAACATAATCCTCACACTCGTGGCAACACTCTTGTACTGTGCTAATCTTCCTATTCTCTTCATCATTCAGAAGCTACACTTCTCCTGCTTCTAATGTCACCAATTAATTTTTTAATACAAGCAGAAACTAAATACTTTTCACAATCAAATTTTAACATAATAATAGTCACTCACAAACCACCCACGTAATCTTCTTTCTCGATACTATATTCGGATCTTCATATTTATCTTATCACTTCCTAACTTGTCGAATGTTCGTTAAAATCGCAATCTTACTCTTTATTTATTTTTCAAGAGTTTAGAGACTCTACAAAATTGCTCTGCTCTTATTCACTCCGATACCATCTACCAGCTTTAATTTAAACACCGGGACCGGGACAAAATTATAGCTTTACGTAGAGAGTTCGCGCGTCACAAAGACTGTCGCCGTTTCGAAAGCGCAAGCCTAGCGATTCGAGAGCGGATTCGCGATCGGGCGGGAATTTGGAGCAAGCGCGATCGGAACGCCGACGGCGCGGCGCGTCGCGTCGCGTCGCGACGACGGCGACAGGTGCGTCTCGCCGGCTCCTACGGCACGTACGCGGAATCGGGACGCGGTCGTGTGCCGACGCGCCCGCCAACCGGGTCTGCACTGGGTCGCCACCGGTATATAGTCGCCGTCGGAGCACGTGCGCGGGCCGCCGAGATCGACGCGAGGAGCCGCGGATGCAAGCGAGAACGAGCCGTGGCCCGCGCGAGAATGACTCACGGCCCGCCGCCGCTGACGGCCAGCTCCGCGCGGGCGCGGGCGCGTGTATCAGATACACGCGGATCACGACGCACATGTGGATACGCGCGGTGTTGGTGACAGCGATCGTATCGAGCGATCCCGTATATGCGAATCATAAGACGGTATATAATTATTATGTGAAAATTTCACATCCCGCGATGTAATTGAATTTTTTTAGCCCGAATTTTCACTTCAAACGTGTAAGTTGAACAAAGTTGAGAATGGAAAATTGAATATCAATTTTAATTCTAGAGATAAGATATTGTATCTTGCCCACCTATTATATCAAGAATTTCTCGTTACACACTCGTTACACACATTTTTAAAATATTTTGTAAAAATCAAGAGAGAAGCGATCAAAGTATTATTTCGTTTGAATTGTATAAAGGAGCATTTTTAGTTGTTATATAAATTCTCCTCTGGATTTACTTGCTAGTTCTGACGTATGCACGTGTACATAAATGGATAAATCGTGTAGATTGCTACGCTATTTGATTCCGCCGTGTTTATTATAGAGAGATAAGTGTGTACCTACGCACAGGTAGGTGGTCAAGCAAGACGGGATGCGTGGAGCGCACGCATTTCACGCGTACATTAGTAAACAATCCTACATCCGACACGAAGCCATGTGCATCGCGGTAAATGAAAAAATAAGTGAAAGTGCACTGATTTCTCATTGCCGGAGGCATCAGCTACTATTTTATTAATAGAGGAAACCAACTCCGAGATCACCGAGTTCGCTGAATAACACAGCGGATTCACGAATAAATTTAGATATGCGTTGTAAATAAGCGGTAACGCGTGTATCACTTTGAGGAATGATTATTTACGAATTTTTAAAAGTACACGTCACACCGTTGCTCCGCGATTCACTGTCAGTCGCCTGTCGCGTCCGACAATCGCGCGCGAAGAGTTCGAAATAAACCAAGCGAGAATTTTCGGCTTGGAGTTCCTTTGACGCGATACGAAAAGCAAAAATAGAGATAGATAGATGCGAAAGATTCGTTTAAAATTCGCTGCGATTCTGAAAGAACCGTCTAAAATTGATTTACTTCGTCATTGAAACGACGAAAGAAAAAATAAAACTGTGACGTGAAAACTTCATTCGCAGATCAGCTCCGAACTTCTGCAACTATATTTTTAATGTCAATCTAATTGCATTTATCATCGCTGATATAGAAATTGTAATTTTAATACAATACAACGAAAAGAATATCGAAAATAAAAAAGCAAATTTTTAGAGCTTCCGTGTTAGTAAAGTCATTTTTATTCGTTAATATAAATATAAATTCGCTAACGCTTAAATCTTTTAAAACTTTATTATGAGTTGAACAAAGTTTTTACAATTTCGCCATAATTTATAGAAGATTTTAATATATTTGAAAATACATATTAACTTGCGATGTCTTGAGAGAGTATTGGATTATCTGCCATTGCATTCGCTTCGACCGGGTTAATCCGTTATAAATCTATAAATACGAACGTACGGTTATACTTGCAAGGAAGCACCAGTCATTGATAGTCAAAATTTACAGAACCAAGGCAGAACCGCGTGTTAGATCTGGCGGCTGGCCGCGAAGGAGCTTTATTTCGAATCGTATATAACCGCCGCGTAAATCAAACAGATTTTACATTCCGAGCGAATAACACAGATTGCTAGAGGACACTCGCAGTTTTAAGCGAGCAATTTTTACGCTCTTACATTCGATGACAGTCGAAGATACACGCGAAGAGTTCTGTTCGCGCGTAACTTTATTGTGTATATTATTGATATCCACTGGAACAGAATCCGTTATTTGTTTTAAGACATAAAGACGGTAAAGATTTTAATTTATTTATATACTTCTAACAGTTATAGACTATAAAGAAATGTAGCGTATGTGGAAAGAAGAGGAAAGGCATATTAATTCCTCGCCATCCGTTTTACAATATATAC